AGTAGCTGGGATTACAGGCGCGTGCCACCACGCCCAGCTAATTTTTTGTATTTTTAGTAGAGATGGAGTTTCCTCATCTTGGCCAGGCTGGTCTTGAACTCCTGACCTCGTGACCCACCCACCTCGGCCTCCCAAAATGCTGAGATTACAGGCGTGAGCCACCACGCCCGGTCCATATGCGGTAGTTTTCTTTTACGTATGTTGATGTAAGTTAACTTTCTATTCAGGCTTTGGAGACATTCTTTAATTCTTTCTGACAATGGCTTATAAGAAACAACGGAGAAAAGAAACCTCGAGGAGATTCTTTAGGCTTCATTTACTGCCATCCCATTTCTCCCACCCAAATACTTTGAATAGAGCTACAGAATTATTAGAATATTTTATCACTTTTATTCCTCTAAGCCTTTAATTGGTAACCAAGTCTTAACATGGACATGCATATGACTTTATTTGAAAATAAAAATATTCAGGAAAAAATTAAAAGCTGGGAATGCATATATGTATATATGCACATACATATATGTATGTGATTTTGTGTGTGTGTGTGTGTGTGTGTGTGTGTGTGTGTGTAGTTTTATGTTTAAATAAAGACATCCCACTTAAAAAATATGATCTTCACTTTCGGAGGCAAGGAGAGAGGTTTGCTTGAACCTAGAAATTGAAGACCAGCCCTGACAACATAGCAAGACTCCATCTTTACAGAAAATTTAAACATTAGCCGGGCATGGCGGCACATACCTGTGGTCCCAGCTACTCAGGAAGCTGAGGTGGGGGAAATGCTTAAGCCCAGGAGGCCGAGGCTGCAGTGAGCTGTGACTGCACCACTGCACTCCACCCTGGTGACAGAGTGAAACCCTGTCTCAAGAAAAAAAAAAAAAGATCTTGCCCAAGGTCAATGGAGAGAAAGCAGCAGAGGTGGGTCCAGGTCTGCCTGGCAGAAAAGAGGGTAAACCGAGGCCGGTGGCCTCCTGGGTCACAGTGTGTGCTCAGCGTGCTGTGGGCCCTGTGGGGTGGTGCTCCCAGCCATTTGGACAACGGCTGATAGGCTGACCAGCTCTTCCATCTCAGGCCTCTCCACAGGACCAAGATCAAGGGAGGGGAATTAGAACATGTCCTTCATTATGAGACACTCCAATTATTAAATTAAAATCCAACTCCAACTTCTATGTACACACTGATTATCCTAACCCCAGGGACACTCAGAACACATCCCTAGCCATTCTCAAAGTACAGCAAGAGCCTGGCCATGGGGTTATTTCTAGAAGCTTGTGAGCAGAGCTGGTTCAAGGAGACATGGCTGAGTCACGCCCTGAGCCCTGGGCCTGCATCCTTCGCTGAGCCAGATGGATGTCACCCTTCAGGATGTGTCAAGGGCTCGTAGTTCCCTTTTTTAAAAAAGTCCCCATCTACCCTCTCTCTTTACCTAGCAGTAGCCACAGGCAGAGTGAGGGACAGGAGCCCATTCCTCAGATGCAAGGCAGCGTGTCACTTGGAGCGAGGTCAGTGTGAACATTGCCCAGGGGGAGGGAAGGCAACCCCTGCAGTGTTAACCACACTGACCTCTTCATGGGGTAAAGAAGTTATTTTTAATTGTTTCTCTACACTGTTCTGTATTTTCAAATTCTCCAATGGAGTCTCCCATCCGGAATCCAAAAATAACTTCGGAGTTATAAAGCAAAACATTGGCTCAAAGACGCCACTTCCCTGAGGCAGCCCACAGAGAAAGAAGCCACTTTCCCAGGCCACAGACTCACCACAGAAGGAGATGATGTGGCTGCTGTCTTCGTGGACAAACTTGCGTGTCACAGCCTCCTCCATGATCTGCTTCACCTGGAAGGCAGAGACAGCCGGAGGGGAAGAGGTCCAAGGTGACCAAGGTAACCTGGGTGTAGGTGCCCCAAAAGAGCTGCATTGCTCCCCACAAGGCTTTTCGGGCTGTTTGGGATGTTTTCATAGCTGCTCTCCTTCCCACCTCCTCGCCTTGTGCTCTGTAGGTCTGAGGACCGTCACAACCACAGGCTTCCCGTTTTATCAATTATTTGTTCAGGTTCTTTGCACAGCGGGCTCCTGCCTCTCTCAGGTGTCACACAAAAACGTCATCTCCTTTCCTGACCACATTGTCTAAGGCATCCCCCTCCCCAATCCCATCCTTTATTTTAGTTCCTGTAGGGCACTCACCACTATTCCCATTCTTTTTATTTATTTATTTATTGAGACAGAGTTTTGCTCTTGTTGTCCAGGCTGGAGTACAATGGCATGATCTCAGCTCACTGCAACCTCTGCCTCCCAGGTGAGATACCACTCACACCTATTAGGAGGCTGCTATGAAATGCTGGTGGGGATATGGAGCAACCGGAGCCCTTGTGTGATGATCAGAAGGCGAAATGGTGGAGCTGTTACGGTAAACAGAATAGTGGTTCTTCAAAAGATTAACCACACAATTGGCATATGATCCAGTTATTCCGCCTCTGGGCATACACTCAAAACAACAACTGAAGGCAAAGTCTCCAATCCAAATTTGTATACCTATGTTCACAGCAGTATTATTCACAGTAGCCACAAGGTGGAAGCAACCCAAGTGTCCATCGTTGGCTGAAAGGACAGACGAAATGTGGCCTACACACACCATGGAATACTATCCAGCCTTAAAAAGGAAGGAAATTCTGACACATGCTAAAACATGAATGAACCTTGAGGACATTGTGCTAAGTGAAATAATCGAGACACAGAAGAAGAAATACTTCATAATTCCACTTATATGAGGTACGTAGAGTGGTCAAATTTAAAAGAGAAAGAAAGGAGAATGGCGGTTGCTGGGAGCCTGGGGAGAGGAGAAACGGGGAGGTATTATTTAATGGATGGAGAGTTTATCTTTCAGAAAGAGATCTGGAGGTTGGCACACAGAATGTAAATGTACTCAACACTGAACGGTATATTTAAAAATGGTTAAGAAGGCAAATTTTAAATTATGTATATTTTACCATTTTAAAATGTGCATATGTTATGCATTCACATAGCATAAATAAATGAATATTTTTCAGTTAAAGAAAGTTCCGTCAGACCACGTTCCTCCTCTGCCCAGAACTCTTCTACGGCACCCATCTCCCCCAGAGTAACAACCGAAGTCCTCACCACCTCCCACAGGGAGGGCCCTCTGCTGACCTCCCAATCCCCCCATCCCAATACCTACTCTACATGCACAGGCTTCCTTCATGTTTGCCCATCTCATGTCCTTTGCAACTTCTGTTCCCTTTGCCTGGAACGCTCTTTCCCCAGAAGCCTCAACTCTTTCTTCAAATGTCACCTTCCCTGACCATCCTATTTAAAATTGCAACTCCCCGACCTCCACCCCACTTGATACCCTGCATACCCCATTTTCTACCTTTTTTCTCTCCATAGTCCTTCATGATTTTGCTTATTTGCCTTATTCCCTAACTGTCTGATTGAGTGGCCTCCACACTCTACGAGGTCAGGAACTCATCTCTGCCATCTGGTGCTGTATTCCCGGAGTGCCTGGCACAGAGCAGGCATTCAGTATCTATCTGTTGAATGAATGCCCTGATGGGGAGGTTCAGATGAGGTGATGTGGGTAAAGCTTTTAGCACAGGGCCTGGTATACAGTGTGTGCTCAATCATCAGCAGCATTTGAATAATGATGACGGAGACACCCCTGCTTCCCTGGACCAAGTTACATCTGGTCTGTGCATCCCACCTCCCTGCTCATCAGGCGTGTTTATGCAGGTAAAAATCAGGTTAAGAAAAGAACGACAAACTTTGCAGGGGGAAACCCCACCACCAAGGGCAGTATGGAGCAGGTATGAAAGTTTTGCCTAGGACGTGAGGACGGGGAAGAGGCAACAGGCAGGTTGAACGCAGAGAAAAACTAGTATGTCTTGAGTGAGCTGCAGTTTGTAAAGCTCTCTCCTGCCTGCCTTGCCTTACAACTTCAGGCGAATACAATCCCCGTTGGCAGAGGAGGCAGTTAAGAGTCAGAGGGCAGGGGACATTCCTCTAAATCAGCACAGCCAGGAAGGTCCAGGGCCAGGCCTGACACTCAAGACTTTAGACTACAAAGCAGAGGACCAAGGGTCGGCAACCCTTTTCTGTAAAGGTCCAGAGAGTAATGAATTTCTGCTTTGTTGGTAACATGGTCTCCATGTTAACTATTCAGCTCTGCCCTTGTAGCATGAAAGCAGCTGCATATTCCTTTACGTATTGAAATGAATGGGCATGGCTGTGTCCCAATAAAACTTTATTCACAAAAACCAGTGGAAGGCTGGATTTGGCCTGAGGACCAACACTGCACAAGAACATTTGGCTCCACCAGGCTGGTCTACTTTGCAGCTCCAGCCAAGAGAACTGCCCCTCTAACCCAAGTCATGAGCCAGACAGCATACTTAGGTGGTCCGCAGTCTGGGACAGCTCTTGGGGTCAGTGCTGATGTGACTGACAACTCCCATACACCATGGCTGGCCCTCTCTTAAGGTTGTAGCCGTCCTGCCAACGTCCTCCTGTTCCTTGGAGGCAGCCATCTGCTGTCACCTCCAGAGTGGCTCTGACGTAGGAGCCCGGCCACCTGTCTGTGTTCTCCCTCATGGTGAACACAGAGGCTACCAGGCCCCATCTGTTCCCTCCACAAAAAGAAGCCATGAGCTTCCTCAAGACATGTGGCAAACCCCTGGCTTTCTCCAGAGCACATGGTGGGAGGGTGGGAGGGGGAGGTGCCAGCTTTGGAAAGTTCTAGCTCTGTCGCCAACAAGCAGATGCCTTCAAGCAGGCAGCACCCCTCAGGGTCTCCCCACTTATTCCTCTGACCTCCCACTGTCTAGGACGCCTCCATCCTCCAGTCCTTTCCTGTGTTGTGCCTCTTCCACCCTCAGAAATCTGATCACGCAAAATGTCACCTCCCCCACTGCTTACTGTGTCCCCTTCACCTCGACTGCATATGTGGAAATCTTAACCCTACTGTCTCAGAATGTGTTGTCTTTGGAGATTAGGTCTTGACAGAGGTGACAAAGTCAAAATGAGGTCATTAGGGTGGGTCCTAATCCAATATGAATATAAGTGTCCTTATAAGAAGAGGAAATTGGGGCTGGGCGTGGTGGCTCACAACTATAATCCCAGCATTCTGGGAGGGCGAGACAGGCAGATCACAAGGTCAGGAGATCAAGACCATCCTGGCCAACATGGTGAAACCCCAACTCTACTAAAGTACAAAAATTAGCCAGGCGGGGTGGCACGCACCGGTAGTCCCAGCTACTTGGGAGGCTGAGGCAGGGGAATAGCTTGAACCCAGGATTGCAGTGAGCTGAGATTATGCCACCACACTCCACCCTGGCAACAGCGCAAGACTCCGTCTCAAAAAA